GGCTTCACTCCCCCCCCCCGGACTCCCACGTTGGCAGCGCCCGCAGGACGCCCTTTGGAACAGGGGGGGGCGCCTCATTCATACCCCCTCCCCAGACACTCAGACACAAGCAAGGCTCCCGCTAAGCTGTGGAGTCTTGTGAGCAAAGATTCCTCTCGGTGAGCTCCTGGCATTCCAGTGAGTGAGCCACGGCTGTCTGGAGCCCCCTCCCTTCCTGGGCTGAGACAAAAAGGTGTGAGCCGGAGGCTCAAAAGACGGTGAGCCAGCTCACACTCACTCGGCTCAGAGGGAACACTACTCGCAAGCAACGCCCCCTCTAAGCCGCGGGGTCTTGTGAGCAAAGATTCTGCTTGGTGAGCTACCGGCATTGAAGTGGTGAGCAAGGGATTTGGCTATACTGCATCCATTCGTTTCCTCTGGAGCCCCGTCCCTTCCTGGGCTGAGACAAAAAGGTGTGAGCCGGAGGCTAAGAACCTGTGAGCCGGCTCACCCTAACTCAGCTTAGAGGGAACACGGCACGTAACCCCCCCCCCACTCTTCCCTTTCCTTGCAAGCTGCCCAAAGGAGCAAAGCGGCCTCCCCCCCCCAAAAAAAACAAGGCCCAGGGAGCCTCATTGGTTGCTACGAGGATGCAGAACTCCACCCGCTCCGCTCCGCTCCCCCCGCTGCCAGGAGAGGGGCATGGTCGGGATGACACAGTGTTCTCTCTAAGCTGAGCTAGGGTGAGCCAGCTCACAGTTTCTTAGCCTCCGGCTCACACGTTTTTGTCTCCACTCAGGAAGGAGGAGGGGGCTCCAGAGCAAACTAACTGAGGCAGTGTAGCCCAATCACTCGCTCACCACTTGAAGGCCAGCCGCTCTCAAAGTAGCCCTTTTGCTCACAGGAAGACTCCCCGGCTCAGAGGGAGCCTTGCCCTCCAGGCCCCTGCGGGGCTGCCCCGGGGCATATCTCCCTTGCCACGGCCACACACGCGGGCTGTGTCTACCCCCTCGCCTGATTCCCCGTGTCTTTGCAGGAGAGCGGGCTGCCCCGCGGCGTCATGGACGGCGCCATCGTCCACGTGGACTTCCCGGAGATCACCGGCGCCCTCCTGGAGAACCTGAACCAGCAGCGCCTGGAGGGGAAGCTGTGCGACATCTCCATCCACGTCCAGGGCCGCGTCTTCCGGGCCCACCGGGCGGTGCTGGGGGACTCCTCGCCC